TATAAATGAATAACTCAGGCACTTACATGGTTCCATATATAATGGAAGTAATTTAAAGCTTCCAGAATATGCAAACTCCTGCTGTGCTGAAATTAAGTTGGAATATGAGAGATAGGAACAATTTCTTGTGTCTACACAGCAAGCTTTATACAATAGATTACAGTTTATGAGACAGGGAAAAGGAAATTTTGATTAAAGAATTTTAGTATAAACATCTCCTGGTATCTCTTCGTTTATAAATTTGCATCCATCTAATAACAAGAGCCTCTTCTACAAAGTTCTAAGAAATAAAGTACCAAATGCCAGGCATAGTGGCTCATGCCTGTAATCCCACCACTTTGGGAGGGCAGGGCAGGCAGATCCCTTGACCCCAGCAGTTTGAGACCAGCTTGGGCAACACAGCAAAACTCCATCTCTACAAAATATACAAAACTTACTGGGCATGGTGGCATGTAACTGTAGTCCTAGCTACTTGGGAGACTAAGGCAGGAGGATTGCTTGAGCCTGGGAGGTCAAGAGTTCAGTGAGCTATGATCATGCCACTGCACACCAGCCTGGGCAATACAGTGAGACCATCTCAAAAAAGAGAAAGAAAGAAAGTACCAGAAAGGCAAGAATATTTTGTCAAGAAACAAAATCCAGGAGTCATACCATGGATTTTCATTTTAAAACTCTCTACACTTAATTTGAAACAAAGAGTCGCCCATTCACAGGTAGACAAAGACGACAACAAACCTTGGGAGTTTCGTAACCTAACTTTTACATTGTTTAAACCTTAGCTTCAGATGAAAAGTCACTAAGGGAAAATTATTCCTTCATTTTAAGTATCATCATAGAAGGCTGACAGAAAATAATGGTCAAAGTTCTTATTAAGGCCGCTGCTTATATAAACAAGATACAAGTAGGTATTTTGAATTCACAAATACCTAGGTATTAACCCTCTTGGGGGTATTCATTTCAACTCTAATAAAACTTTAAGGAGACAGAAATTAATGAGTAGCAATAGTTTAAGATAGACAAAACTAATAAGTATTTATAACAAGTTCTGATCACCCTGTGTGTGTTATCTCTGTTAAGCTGTGGCAGGTGATCTCAGGCGGTGAGAACTGAGAAAGTGAAAATGGGGTTTACAATTATGATAACATCCCCAGTGTCTCTTTTTGTTGTTGTTTTTTTTGAGACAGAGTCTCACTCTGTCACCCAGGCTGGAGTTCAGTGGCACAATCTCATCTGACTGCAACCTCCACTCCCAGGTTCAAGCAATTCTCATGTGTTAGCCACCGAGTAACTGGGATTACAGGCATGAACCACCATGCCTAGCTATTTTTTTTCGTATTTTTAGTAGAGACAGGGTTTCAGCAGGTTGGCCAGGCTGGTCTCGAACTCCTAGGCTCAAGGGATCCACCCTTCTCAGGCTCCCAAAAGTGCTGAAACTACAGGCATGAGCCACTGTGCCCAGCCCAACATCTCCAATGCTTAGCCCCTTAATAGAACCTGGAGTAGTCTGGGCATGGTGGCTCACACCTGTAATTCCAGCACTTTGGGAAGTCAAGGCAGGTAGGTCACTTGATTTCAGGAGTTCAAAACCAGCCTGGCCAAGATGGTAAAACCCTATCTCTACTAAAAATACAAAAAAATTGGCCAGGTGTGGTGGCACACACCTGTAATCCCAGCTACTCAGGAGGCTGAGGCAGGAGAGTCACTTGAACCCCAGAGGTAAAGGTAGCAGTGAGCTGAGAATGGGCCACTGCACTCCAACCTGGGTGACAGGTTGAGGCTCCTTCTAAAAGAAAAAAAAAAAACAAACAACAACCTGGAGCAGATCCACCATATACTATGTATTGATAATCATTCCTCCAGTTAAAGATTGCAATGGCCTTCTCAGTAGCCTCTGATGATTCTGTCTTGCTCTTTCTCATCCTGCGTATTTTCTAGTACCTTTGCCATCATCTGGGCATCCCCTTCTCCCAGAACTTTCTAGTACTTCCAGATCCAGTTTTTTAAAAAATCATTTCCAAAAATCACTCCTACCTCTAAACTTCTATTAAGTGTGAGTATTCCACTCATTTTAAATGTAGTTATGCACAGCTTGGTGAGAGTTCTTAGACTGGATAGCTAACTTTCCTTATTTAATTATTTTTATTATTTAACTTTTATGTATTTCAGCTCCTTGAGCATAGTATTGTATATTTATATTTCTTTCTGTTTATATATATATATATGGTGCTATTAAATATTTATTGGTTTGAATTTAACACTATTCATCACTTTTTTTTCAATCATCATTACTGATGATTAAATAAACTTAAAAAATATAGAGGAAGATGAGAGTACTCCACTTCATTTCAAAACTAGTTCTAAACCACTGCTTTGGGCTATTGCAAGTAATATTAAAAAACAAAACAAAAAAGAACCCCTGGCCAGGCATGGTGGCTCAAGCCTGTAATCCCTAAAGGGGTCTCGCTCTGTCACCCAAACTGGAGTGCAGCAGCATGATCATGGCTCACTGCAGCCTTGAAATCCTGGGCTCTAAGGATTCTCCTGCCTCAGCCTCCTCAGTAGCTGGGACTACAAGCACATATCACCACTCCTGGCTAATTTTTAAAATTTTTTGTAGAGACAGGGTCTCCCTATGTTGCCAAGGCTAGTCTTGAACTCCTGGCCTCAATTGATCCTCTTGCTTCGGCCTCCCAAAGTACTGTTATTTTTGCACTAATGTGGACAGATACTAACTAGTTTGAAGAGAAAACAAAACTTGGCAGCCAATGAAGCCAAAATTTTAGCTCAGTCACCATCTTTTTTCCAATTCAACGTCATATTTATATAGACATACATTTACTCTTTCAAAAATGAATATATCACAAGAAGATACATCACAAAGAACACTGCTGTTGGAGAGGAGTCCCAGTTTACTCTATAGCCTGGGCTCCAGAGAGTACTATATGAGGATCATCTCCACAAGTGGATAACCATGACTTGCTTTGAAAGATCTCAAGAAGAGACTATTCCACATTCTCACTGGCTAACCCTTACCAGGGCCTTCAAGATGTCACGAAATTATTCTTGCTACAATTTATACTTATTGTCCCTTTTCACCAGTTGATGTAGAAGATAAGTTTTAGAACTTTATACCTAAAGACCCCTACTGGATCACTCTGTCCTTCCTTGTCTTTAATTTCCTTCTAACTGTTTAATCATTTCCATTCCTGCTTCACAAAGTTATTGTAAGGATCACTTGAAATGGAATATATCAAATTACCTAGCTCTGTATCTGACACAGAGTAAGCATATACCTTTCTTTCCTAACCAAGGACAAAACTGATTATCTCCATCAAAATGCAAAGCAGGGCCGGGCACGGTGGCTCATGACTGTAATCCCAGCACTTTGGGAGGCCGAGGCGGGCGGATCATGAGGTCAGGAGATCGAGACCATCCTGGCTAACACGGTGAAACCCCGTCTCTACTAAAAATACAAAAAAAAAAAATTAGTCAGGTGTGGTGTTGGTAGCCTGTAGTCCCAGCTACTCAGGAGGCTGAGGCAGGAGAACGGTGTGAACCTGGGAGGCAGAGCTTGCAGTGAGTCGAGATTGTGCCACTGCACTCCAGCCTGGGTGACACAGAAAGACTCCGTCTCAAAAAAAAAAAAAAAAAGCAAAACAGTTGGGGCATCCTAATTAGAATCTTATAATGAATGTACAGGTACACCCAAAAATCTGTACGTTTGTATCTTTTATTTGGCATTTTCTTTACTTTTATTTGATTTCATTTTTTTTTTTTTTTTTTTTTGAGGCAGAGTGTTCCTGTGTCACCCAGGCTGGAGTGCAATGACACAATCACAGATCACAGCAGCCTCAACCTCCCAGGCTCAATCAATCTTCCCACCTCAGCCTCCGGAGTAGTTAAGACTATAGGCACATGCCACCACGCCCAGTTAATTTTTGTATTTTTTTGTAAAGGTGGGGTTTTGCCACATTGCCCAGGCTGGTCTTGATCCACCTGCCTTGGCCTCCTAAAGTGCTGGGATTACAGGCATGAGCTACTGTGCCCAGTCGGCATTTTCAGTAAAATAATATTATAAAACCAGATTCTAATTGTTCTTTCCTGCCCATCCTAGTCAATTTTTATCCAAATCCAAAATTTTTAGCTATTATATCTTTTAAAACTTAGATATTCTAAACTAAAATAGCTCGAGAAACATATACTATAAATAGACATCCTTTGTGAAAATTTTTTTCTTAAAATTATTCCTAGCCTCACCTAAACCTTATTCAGTCACATTTCCACTTAAAATGTTTTTTGCTCTTCTTACAGTTACTGTAAATGTGCTCCTCCCTCCCTTTCAAAATGTGAAATCCTGTCAGAAAAGGCAGATTTTATAAAATCAAACACCTACAGTAATATTGCAACATGCTAGAATATAACTGTGAGAGAAAATTAATTCAGTAAAATGGTATCTCGTTACTGCAGTCTGCAACTCTCTTGTCTCTTTTCTAATGATTTTTAAAGTCAGAACAGTCCATATGCTTCTTACAATATCAGTGTTTTCACTTGAATTTTCTCCTTTAGTCTTAAGATTTATTCTATTCTGAAAGTAATAAAAATAAATAAATGGAAAAAATATCAAAGCTTGATTTTTCAGATTACTACTTGAAGGGCAGTTTGGAAAAATTCTGTTTTCACTTTCAGCCTTCTTTGCCTCAAAACAAACGTGGCTTTTTGTCATAAACATATGCTATGACAGAATGTTTAAACGAACCCTTTGATTTGCAACCACCTTATCTTCAAATGCCACTATATTTGTGAGAATTTTTTCCTTTAGTCTGACAATACAGCAAGACCCAGTTAAAACAGCAGGATTTCCTAAAACAAGTTGTAAAACCTAAGTTCTGATAAAGATTGTCTGTAAACTCAATAGAATAAATAATGAGATTCTTATTAGATTGTTTTTCTTATCCAAGAGAAATCTAGTTTTTACAAATCTTAACTAGAATAATGGTTACCTTATGGAGATACTGTATTCAGGACAGAAGATGCTTGTATATTGGACCCATGCACCAACCTCCTTTTCAGTTTCCCTTTCTTTGACTTCTGTTACTGAAAACAGATTAAATGATTCAAATCTTCTTACAGATACATGTCGCAGGCAATCATCCAGGTGTTTTTGCTTCAGAACCTTTGAAATAAAACCAAATATTGCAGTCATGTTTTACAAACACATAGTAAGTTAAGTGTTCAAAATGTTCAAAATTTAAGTGGTAAGGGGACTTTCCCTTCCAATAATAACAGATTAGATAATTCACATATATCTCCTACTGAAGATAACTATAAAAGATGAACAAAATATTTTAAAACATTACTTGAAGACATCAGAGAGCAAAGATAGTGAAGATTTACAAGTCTGATATATTTTTTTTCTTTTTTTTTTGAGACAAGATCCTACTTTGTCACCCAGCCTCACTGTCACCTAGCCTGTCACCCAGTTAGGTTCAGGCGATACTCCTACCTCAGGCTCCCTAGCAGCTGGAACTACAAGTATGCACCACCACACCTGGCTAAGTTTTTAAATTTTTTGTAGAGATGGGGTCTCCCTATATTACCCAGGCTGGATTCAAACTCCTGGGCTCAAGTGATCTCCAACCCTGGCCTCTCAAAGTGCTGGGATTAAAGGTGTGAGCCACAGCACCTCGCCCGCAGTCTGATATCTTTAAAAGGAGAAAACCTACAAAGGTTACTCTGACTTTTGCAACCACTTTTCTCCTGGGGATATTTGTCAATTCCAAAAGAAAGAATCGAGAAGATATGCTGCATCTTTAATAGCCTATGGAGTTGGGAGAGAAAAGTTGAATTTCAAAGCTTACCTAGGAATGGGGAGATATATTGAGTATGCAAGGTATGTATGTTTTAGTATAATGAATAATTTTGCTGGTGTTGCTGAAAGACAGATTTTAAAGTGTGGGAGATATCACCCAATGATAATGTTTGGATTTTATTTGGATCCTATTCCAAAATAATCAAATTATAAAGAAAAATTATGACAAAATGAGAAAAATTTGAAAACTGATCAGATCTTTCATGACATCAATTAATTATTTTGGGTTGATGTGGTACTGTGATTTTTTAATGTCATTTTTATAAGTTCATAATGAAACAACTGAAGAAAAAAATGACATGTGAGATTTGCTTCAAAATAATGGTGTGGGGGGCAATGGGAGAAGTGAGATTAAACACCCTTGTTCATGAGTTAAAATTGCTGAAGCTTATCAGTACCTGAATGATTATTGTATTCTTCTCTCTAGTTTTATATATGTTTGACATTTCCCATGATACAAAAATCTTAGATATAAAATAACTTCTGACTCATAAGCAAACAAAAATAAATTAAAAGATATTTAAAAAGCCAAATATATTTGGAAACTAGGCAATGTACTTATAAATAACCTATGAACCAGAAAAATAACATACAATAAAAATTATAGGCCAGGTGCAGTGGCTCATGCCTGTAATCCCAACACTTTGGAAGACTGAGGCAGGAGGACTGCATGAGGCCAGGAGTTCCAGACCAGCCTGAGAAACATGACAAGACCCCATATCTACAAAAAATAAAAATAGGCTGGGCACAGTGGCTCATGCCTGTAATCCCAGCACTTTGGGGAGGCCGAGGCGGGTAGATCACCAGAGGTCAGAAGTTTGAGACCAGCCTGGCCAACATGGTGAAACCCCATCCTTACTAAAAATACAAAAATTAGCCAGGCGTGGTGGCTGGGGCCTGTAATCCCAGCTAACAAGGAGGCTGAGGCAGGAGAATCGCTTGAACCCAGGAGGCGGAGGTTGCAGTAAGCCAAGATTGTGCCATTGCACTCCAGCCTGGGTGACAACAGCGAGACTCTGTCTCAAAAAAATTTAAAAATGGCCAGGCGCGGTGGCTCAAGCCTGTAATCCCAGCACTTTGGGAGGCTGAGACGGGCGGATCACGAGGTCAGGAGATCGAGACCATCCTGGCTAACCCGGTGAAACCCCGTCTCTACTAAAAAATACAAAAAACTAGCCGGGCAAGGCGGCGGGCGCCTGTAGTCCCAGCTACTCGGGAGGCTGAGGCAGGAGAATGGCGCGAACCTGGGAGGCGGAGCTTGCAGTGAGCTGAGATCCCGCCACTACACTCCAGCCTGGGCGACAGAGCGAGACTCTGTCTCCCCCCAAAAAAAAAAAAAAAAAAAAAAAAAAATTAAAAATAAAAATAATTAGCAGGATATGGTGGTATGTGCCTGTAGTCCTAATTACTCAGGAGGCTGAGGCAAGAGGATTGCTTGAGCTTAGGAGTTTGAGGCTGCAGTGAGCAATTATCAGGCCATTGCACTCCAAACTGGGTGACAGAGTGAGGCTCTATCTCTGAAAAAAAACAAAGGAAATTATAAAGTAATTTTGAATTGAATAATAGAAATACATTTCAAAACATATGACATGCAGCTAAATCCAGGCCTAGAGAAAAAAATATGGAAAGGTCAAAAGTTAATAAGTATTCACTGCAAAAATTTGAAAAATAAGAAAATTAGATCCTTGAAAGAGTACAAGTTAATGAAAGATAAAACAAACATAGGAGAGAGATTCAATAACACTAAAGGTTGTTTCTTTGAAAAGATTGATAAAATTGATAAATCCTTAATAAGACTAATAAGAAAAAAAGGAAGAAGTATCAATATGATAGGAGATTACTATAATATAAATCCTAGACATTAAAAAATAATAATGAAGGGATATTTATGAAAACTAACTTTGAAAATTTAGATGAAATGGACAAATTTCTAGAAAAACACAACTAATAAAACTGACACAAGAAGAAATGGAAAATCCCAATAGTCTAAACTATTTCAAAAACTGAATTCATACATATAAAACTTACCACAAAGAATAATCCAGGCCCAGATTGCTCACAAGGAAATTATATGAATGTCTGAGTAAGAATTAATGTAAGTCTTACCACATTCTTCATTAAATGCTCAAACAACACTATGGGATAGATACCCATTACGTGAGATAAAAAACTAGAATACAGGGCAGTTAAGTAATTTGCCCAATATCAGAGAGTTCACAAGAGGCAAACCCAAAGTTAAAATACAAGCTGCCTGACTACAGACCCTAAACTCTTAATACCTCTGCTTAGAGAATATGATAAACTGGCATCACCTATCCATTCTAGCTTCCAAGATACCTTTCTATTTTATAGAGCTAGAAAGTTAGAAACTCTATTTCCCGGAATCCTGAGCAGCCACAGTTTCACGTGTGATTTTGGTTTAACTACTCAGATGCACTAACATGAGATTTGAAAGGAGGAAAGATGGTGTTAACTATAATTCACCAACTTGTGCTGGTTAGAATAGTTGTAAAGATACTTGGTTTTTCTGAAGCAGCTTTAACAGAGGTCCCAGTGTTCACTCTAATTTAATGGAGAGTGAGAGGAAGCACAAGTGGCATCACCTCTCCTGGTACAGATCTAGAAGCAAGGTATGCTTCTAGAATCTGTAGTCATGGCACAGCAGCTTCCTGTTCATCAAAGATCACAGCTAAAGTGATGTAATCCTGGAGACAGCTTCAGGTTCTTCATTGTGGCAGAGGCAGTATTTCCCTCAGCTGGCCAATTTCAGCTTTATACTGTACTGGGACTCTGCTGTTCTGGGATTCATTCTTAGACTGTTTCTCCAATGATTTTGTAAGCACTTAATTCACTATGCTAAACCCCCTTCTGCTTAAAGTAGCTAGAGTGGTTTGTATTTTCTAAAAAGGAACCCTTATTCCAACAATGCATAATTCTTACGTGTAGAAGGGCAAACTGAGATCAAAACAATCGAGAAAATATATCACTATGAATATATCTCATAGGAAAAATATGTTTAAATTTTATATACAATGTAGAAGTTTTAGAAGGTTAGTTTTTTGGTTTTGTTTTGTTTTGTTTTGTTTTTGAGACGGAGTCTCGCTCTGTCGCCCAGGCTGGAGTGCAGCAGCCGGATCTCAGCTCACTGCAAGCTCCGCCTCCCGGGTTCACGCCATTCTCCTGCCTCAGCCTCCCGAGTAGCTGGGACTACAGGCGCCCGCCATCTCGCCCGGCTAGTTTTTTATATTTTTAATAGAGACGGGGTTTCACCGTGTTAGCCAGGATGGTCTCGATCTCCTGACCTCATGATCCACCCGTCTCGGCCTCCCAAAGGGCTGGGACTACAGGCTTGAGCCACCACACTCGGCCAGAAGGTTAGTTTTTTAAATGGAGGATCAGAAAAGGTAGCCTCTCTTTGAAGGTTTTATTTATTTTTAATAGTTTAAAAGCCGTAATCAAAAGCAGGATCCTAGCCAGGCATGGTGGCTCATGCTTGTAATTCCAGTACTTTCAGAGGCAAAGGTGGGTAGATCGCTGGAGGCCAGGAGCTCAATACCAGCCTGGCCAACATGGTGAAACCCCATCTCTACTAAAAATGCAAAAATTAGGCAGTGCATGGCATGCACCTGTAATCCCAGGTTCTTGGGAGGCTGAGGCACGAGAATTGCTTGAGCCTGGGAGGCAGAAGGCACAGGAGGCAGGAGAATTGTTTGAGCCAGATTGCACTACTGCACTCCAGCCTGGGTAACAGCAAGATTCTGTTTAAAAATAATAATAATAATAATACAGGGTCTTATTATTGTCTGTCAACTATGGGCAACAGGAAGAAAAACAAACTACTCAACAGAGTTTACTCTTAGGAAAAAACAAAGTATTAAATTTTTAAAAATATAAAATGTAGATATTATAAATTGTCTTCAATCTTGCCCAATTAAATTCCAAACAGTAAATACCTTTTTATAGTCTAAATTACTCTGATGTCAAGGTAATGGCACCAAGGTACTCTGATGTCAAGGTAATGGCACCATAAACCACTAATGTAAAAAATAACTTAAGTTACCACATGTATAATACTGGAAGGGGCTTTCATAGTTTAGTGTGATCTGCATGATCTACGTGATCTACAATATGACAACAAGCTAATATTCAATGAAAGTAACAGGCAACATATTTAGAACAAATAAGACATTTATATAATCCATGTTAGGTAAAAGTAATTACAATAGGAGATCAAGTCAAATTACTTTTGATGTTTCTTTAAAAAGAAGATGGGCCGGGCGCGGTGGCTCAAGCCTGTAATCCCA